TTTCAAAGCCCCCCTTCTTTCGTCTCCCTGTATTTTTTCAAAGCCCCCCCTTTCAGGTTTTGAAAAATTTGAAGGCCCCCCCAGTTTCTCCTCAATCCCCCCCTGTACAATAAATAATGAGCGGTCCCTAAGCATAGATAAGCTGACCTTTGGGTTTTGCGACGTTGCTTCTGGCGTTGTCTTTCTGGATGTCCCTTGTTCTTCATTGACATTGTTAATTTGTTGGGCATCTTTCCACTTCGTCTCCACTGGCACTGATTTATATATAGGCCCTTGTTTTTCTCCGTACCACAATTGATATCGTATCATTGGCTCGCCTCGCTCCGATGTTATGGCCTCACTGACGAGGACAGTTTGTTCTTGAGCTAGACTCAGAAGGACACCAGATACAGTAAACCTGTAATCCCCCTTGAGTAATTCTTTTGTTTCTTTCAGAATTCTATAGCGAATAGTATCAAGTGTTAAGTTTTCATCCACATCAAATATAATGCACAAAACTATTTCGTTTTCAGATGTTTCTGAAATGCGAACGTCGAGCATTATACATATATATTGTTTTGTTATTAAATGCCCAACTGCCTAGCCGGTTTGCGGTAAACAATTACGGTTATTCAAATGGCTTCCTAAAGGCTGCTTTGCAGTTTATAAAATGCCGGCCCTATGGTTATAGGAACTTGTCTCGCAGTTTTATTATTTTATACTATTATGAACCGGTCAGTATAATCACAGAGTACATACAGAGGTCTCAGTGCGTCTCACTTCTATGGGAAAACCGTAAGGCAGTTTTTACCGAAATAGCTGGCGACCACGTTCTTAGCAAGTGCCCTAAAAAGAGGCATTCACCCCTGGAACATTAAATTTCATTATGTTTTCAGGGGGGTGACGGCCTCTCTTTAGGGCACTTGCTAAGAACATGGCGGACTGAAAAAATCCCTTACGCTAAATTAACCTGAATTCAAAGCTCTGTATGTACTTACTCTGTGGTATAATCTGCAGATTGCAGACCAAGTACAAAATGCAGAATAGGTATAAATTGCAGATTGAAATTGCAGACTTGGTATAAGTGCAGACCGTGAAAAAACATTTAATATGTCATACTGTCATGAAGTTCAAATTATTTACAACTTCGAGACTTCGAGTTTTGTGGTTCATTGTTGATCCATGTTAATGTATAAGCTTTGTATGCTTTACACTGTAAATTCTGAGGGGTAGAATTTGCTCCAGAATGGGGTAAATGTTTACCCACGTCAGATGTGTAAGAGTGTTTGGAGTAATTTTTACTCCATTAATCGGGAGTAATTTTTTTCATACCTGATAAAACTTACCCCCAAAATGGAGCAACTGTCCACTTACCCATTGCCAAGGGTAAAAAATACAATAGGTGCGAAAATTACCCCCATAAATGGGAGCAATGGAAATACTCAAAATGGCCGATTATGAAATAAACCTGAAGGCATTCGATTAAAGCTTTATAGCTTTATAGTATAGGCTTATGACGCATTTAAGTTTTCCCTAGGCCTAGCCTAGGCTTTCCCTTTGCAAAGTTCTCGTACAGTTTTTGTCCAAATTACACCAATATTTAATTGATTTGTCTTTGTCCTATTACCAATTGCCCTAAAATACTGGCAGCCAAAGGCAAACTGGCAAACAAACACACACAATTGACACAAATTGTCAAATATCCTGCCATCCTGGCGTGGGAGAAGACGGGGAAATACTCCTAGGGTGTTAAGTCCGGCAGAGTAAAAAACCCCGCTAATATACTTATTGATACACAAACATTTTAACACATTTCGCTTTCGTGTATTTATTTCATTGTTTTGTCGGGGAAATTATATCAAAATGCCTTTGTCTGATAACCGAGGAAAGCCTGGGTGAACTGAGACGCCAAAAAAGTAAGTTTTTTTATATACAATGACTGTACATCTATACTCTTAGTATAGAGTATAGTTTTGCACATCAGACATATCAACAGACAAAACACTATTGTGCTGATTCAAAAAGGGTCTAGCACAGTGTCAGTGACACAATAATTATTAATTATTAATAAGTATAATAATTATTAATTAATACAGAAATTGAAACTTGTTTACATGGGTTTATATGAGCTATGGCAAACATATTAACATAGTAACATATATTATTAATTATATCAAATGATTAACGTTTGAAGCTGAGATTCTTTTGTGCATGAATCAATATTAACCCCCACCGCTATTCAAATTTCCCTACCACTGGGGGCAAATGGCATGCAAAACGCTTCTAATGCCCCAGGATCATTGGGAAAAATTAATATAATCCCCTGCAAATCCTCATGGGCATGGGGGAGGGGGTTAATATTGTCTCATGAATGCATTACACTTTGGTCTGTGTCTGTGGATACTTTTGTTCTTCTGTAATTTATTATAAAATCGTTCACTGGCAGTACTCTTCCACTGTCAAGTATTAAAATGACAAATATCTGGTGTTAAACTGCAGACTAGTTAACCTACTAAATTAGGTAGGTTGCATACGTCGCCAGTGCATGAAGCGCAATATTTAACAATTATTCGCAGAAGGAAAGATGATTATCAGTGATTATTATACATTGTAGTTAGTAAAAGCAATTTGATTGGTTAAGAGCTTACAGTTCAATCGCGCAATCACGCAACCTACAGAAAATTCAGTTATCTGCTAGCAGATAACTGAGTTATCTGCAAATGAGCCTGCAATGATTAGCAAGCGGTATCTATTTAACACAAACAAATGTATAACAAAACAACTATGTGGCATAAATAAAGTTTTTCATGCGTTCATACTATGTTTATTAATTTTCAAATGTACAATAAAACAATTATTGAATTCGGTATTGGTGATATGCAAAATTATCAAGGTCCCGGTAAGCGTTATCAGCTTCGGCTCGGCTGATAACGCTTACCTCAACCTTGATAATTCCGCATATCACAAAAACCTCATCCAATAATTGTTAATTATTAGTATAAATTCACATGTGATTGAAAAAATACAAAATACAAAAGGTTTATGCAAGAATGTGATACCACAGCATGATGAGTGTATTGTATTTTCCCCCAAACAATCAATACCAATGTTTTGCTTAGTTTATCCAGGTACCCCGTGTAAATGTGTGGGGGCCAGGTGGCCACCCCTAGTAAAACAAATCTATATAGTCTCAAAAGATCTAACCTGAAGTTCAGGCCCTATCACAGAATAGGGCCTGACACAAAACCTATCTAAAGTGTGGGATTCCCGTCCACCTGGTGGACGGGAAATCTGATTGGTTGATCAGCATCATGAAGGATTTTGATTGGTTGCAAGTTCACATAAACAACAGTTTTAAAAATAGCTCGGTCAAGGCAACAATTAATATAAAGGTCAAACGCACGTAACAAATTCCATTATCGATTTCTTCGAATTTCTTTTCTTTTATGCTTTATGGCAGAAAATAAATCAAACAAACAGTATTTTGAAAGGGCTTCATCAAAATCTTTGACGAATTTTGGATACACACGACGCTGAAAGAACAGCCAAACTAGTCATGTATTCGAAAGCTTGTTGTTGACAGCCAAGATGTTCTGCCAAATTGCTTCGCCGGCAAAAGTCTTATTTCTAATATCAGGTCCTACCGGCGTTGTTTTCTGAGCTACATCGCCTTCTTCGTGGTATGATTGAGAATTTAATTGTTGCTGTTATTAGCCCGTTAGTCGTTAGAGTATATCCGCGTCCAGCAAGTTGAGACCTTGAGAAAGCTTGGCAGTCAAGCCGTGCACAGAACTGACTAATTAAATCTTTGTTTGCTGTTCGCCTGTTTGGTTAAATAGAGAAACTGACTCTTAATTATATAAAAGTACCTTGAATTTTAAGTTTAATTAAAAAGCAAAATGCTCTGCGGACATGTTCATGAGAATATAATTTTTTTGTGTAACGAAATCTACAACACTTGTCAATCATATTGCATGTGTGTCTAAAAATAACATGTGGGCGTCCCACGGTCTAGACAGGTTTTGTGTCAGGCCCTATTTCAAATTAGGGCCTGAACTTCAGGTTACAAAAGATCTCGATTTGTGACTTGTATTAGGGGTTCTTGATCAGTCGGTCTGATTTTGGGTGTACAGTAGTGTCCATCTCCCCAAGCAAGATTGATATGTATGCCCCTGGTTATGTCCAGCTGTAACTTAAACAATTTGTTATTTGAGACATTGCTATTTATTGCTATTCATTGGTGGTTTGGATAAAATATAAAACCATAAACATAGACCTGGACAATATGGGTTATATTGTGCTTGATCAAGTTTCCTAATTTAACCTTGTAGTCTAATAACTGAAAAGCAAACATTCAGATATAACTTTATATTTAATTTAATTTATTTTATTAAAAACCATGTAAAGTCCGTTCTGTGCATACGTTCTGCACAGGCCTACAGTATATTCCAATGGTTGGGACCCGACCATTGGAATGTTAATTATTAATCTTTCGCACCTTCCTAACTTTCTTGATTTGAATTCCTAGCCTGTATTCATTTACAAGCATAGTGAACCAGAAGAGTGTTAAAAATTCAGTATAATATATAACTAATCATATTTTACAACTATAGCGCTGAGTTCAAAATGTAAACAAAGCGTTTGTTTACATTACAGACTTTACATGGCTTTTAACTTTGCCAAATTCAAACAAGGTTAACACAAAAACTGGCAGGGCAATCGCAAAATACACTATATTAAATATACATACATAAAAAAAATCACTATCATATTCAACTTTTCATGTTGCGACCTGCAGGACCACTTCCATTTTCGGAAGGTGACTTAGTCAGATGACATTTGAAACCCTCACAATCCTAAACCTTCAGCAAAACCCTGAATAGGCCTGATGCTGTTTTATAATAGTTTTATAACTTATTTTTAAACTCCTTTAAAGTTCCCATGCCATTAATAGTTAAATCCCTTGGCAGTGTGTTCCAGACTCTAGTAGTCTTTATAATATTAGATATGATATTTTTGATATGTAGATGTTAGACATGCTGAAGTCTGACATTGTAGGCAGCTATAGGGTTTGTAGATTAGGTATGTTGACTTGAGTCTTGAGGGTGTGGTATAGTATGTCGCTACTTAGGTTAATAATGTCATGGTGTGATTTGAAAAGGAACAATATGTCTAGGTACTACTGCCAGTAACACAAAGGTAGAGATTCAATGTTATATATCCATTTTCTTCACTTTTGTCATGCAGTTGTACTCACTACACAGTTGGCACTTGGTACTTTGGGCAAACATAGGTTTTCACTTGTTGGCCTGCATGTGCCACTGTAATTAAATGTAGAGGCATGAAGATGTTGTTACTTGAGTAGCAACGTGCCATTTGTCTCATTTACTTCATAATCATTAATGTGTCTGTTGAATGTGGTTGTCAGGAGGCCTTCAGGGACGAACCATACATCATGCACATTTTGCTGGACCATGCATATTTCTTTTAGCAAGGCAAATACTGGCATTTCTTCTTCATCATTTGCAATCCAAAGAACACATCCACATTTAAATGTTGTTCCCTGAACTGAAATCCATTTTGGTCTAGAAAAGAATACAAAACACTGTTGTAGTTATAAGAACATTGTGAATGTTTTTAAGTAAGGGGATGCATGACTAATTCTAACTTCAACATTTTGTATCACAACAAGTGTATTCATTCTGTGCAGTTTTCTTCTTTGTCTCGTTACTAGCAAAGCCACACCCTGTAATGCCAGTGCCAAACCTCTTTCTGGAACTGCTTGCTTACTGTATTTTTGAATTAAGCCATGAATGTCAATAAGATTGTCAATTTACTTACATCCATATCCTTATACTTACTTTGTAATAACTGTTGTTTGTTGTAATGGCTCATGTTGTTCTTTTAGTGCTTGGTACAACAATTAGTGCTGGTGACTTGTTATACTACCTGCAGCATAGAAATTAGATGTTCAGAAATTATGCTGCTGTTTGCTGCATAATTTCATTGAAGACCTCAATCACTGTTAAGTTACATGGGAAGTATATGTACTCAATACGTATTATACGTACATTTTTTTTGTTTTTCTGCCAGCAGCTTTGCCCAGGCCTACCTGTTAAACATTTGGTGACTACAACTTGTTTTGCTGACCTTGCAATGTTTCTCAAAGACAAACATATTACTAGCCAGCTGCATATATTATCATTCAGAGAAAATAGAAATAGGAGGGCAGAATAAGGGCTTCAATAGGGTACACTCTGCAAATCATAATACAATAAGTACATATTTTTATAAAAAAATGAGGCAGTGCATATACCTATACCTAATAAATACAAAATTTTAATTTACTTTAAATTACACTGACTAGGGCAATTACCTGCTCCAATCTCAATACCCTTTTCCAAAAATGACGATTCGTAGTTCCCTGATGAATTCATTTTGTAGCACATCCAACGTTGGTGACGCATTGATAGAGTATATGGCAGGTTAGTGAAGTTGCCAACTACTGTGCTCAATTTCTTAAAGTAATGATGTTTTGCTTCATAGCGCATACACCATGATCGAACAAGTGGTCCCAGGCTAAAAGTAATTGATTGTAAGATATTCAGTTGGGTCATTCCAGAAAAGATCCACACCCCTCCCACAGAGGAAGTTTCTGCTGCTAAGGGGGAAGCGAGAAAATCTGTTTCTGATAATAGTGAAGTGTATTAGGATATCTGAAGGGCTAAAGCTTCCAATTTCATCCATGCGGAGGTATGGATATTTTTGGGAGCGACCCATTTTAATATAAAAATTTTATGTTGATAAGTACAATGAAAGAAGAACAACACATTTGAACAAGGGCAGTTCTGTTCGTGGAAGCTCCCACAGAATTTAATCTTATTTTCTGACGTGCATATTTTTCTGTTATCAGAGTTTACAAAGGTGGTGAGGTTAAAAAAGTTAGGGTTAGGTTCTGGTTAAAATTGGAATAGGAAGTGTTTCTGACCCATGCATGTGGGCTAGCACTATGTATGCAACAGAACTTGTCCAAATATGTAAATCAATATAATGTAAATCATGTAATTTGTTCTATTTATTTTGTGTGATAATTATGAAACTTGTTAAAATGCATGTGTCATTATTTTCTTAAGGATCAAGTTAATTCGAGCATAGATGAATCTTATTTAGACGAAATAGAAAAGGAAGATGATGAAGATGTAGAAGTTGTGAAGTCCTCAATGAAATCTAAGAAAAAGTGTGGAAGAAGGGGAAAATGGAGCTCTGATAATTTGAATGATTTTATTGACATAATTGTCAATAATAATGATTATGTTGAGAAACTGATCTTCAGAAACACAAAGTTTCAGCACAATGGCATTATATATGAGAAGATCCTTAAAGAATTGAAAAAAGGTCTTCTGACAGGGGAGAGACTATAGAATTCGATGTGAACCAACTAAGAAACAAATTCAAAAAGTGTGTCGGTGACTGTAAAAAGATTGCATTAACAATAAAGACAGCAACAGGGATAAAAAAAATCCAGAGAGAAAAAGGCTATGGATCTTGGTTTGATCAGCTGTTCTCCCTTGTTAAAACGCGCGATTCCTGCAAGCCTGAAAAAGCCACAGAGCCTTCAGCAAACAATAAGGATGAGAAACAAGCTGGTAATGTCACTGATGATGGCAGTGATGATGCTACAGCAAAGAAAGAATATGTTCCAATTAGATCAAAGAAAAAAAATAAACAGAAAGAACAAGAAAAGACATTGTCAGAAGTTGTTAATATTGTTAAGAACATGGTTGATCAAAATCCTATGAAAGATCTTGTCAGTTTGGTTAAAGAGGAAATGAAGGAAAGTCAAGAGCATGAATTAAAGTTGTATCAGCTCATGTTTAACAGTTCTGCAAGCAATTCCCAGGCACATCCACATAATCCAGAAACGTCCCAATTTTTTCAGCATAATTCATATTACCACAATCATGGCTTCCCTCGCAGCCTCCCAAGTGGCATGAATCCTACTCCTGTACCCAGACCAGAACCTTTCAATATTCAACAAAATTTATTTGCAGATGATAACTCTTATGGATCTCCTTCAGTGAACAGTTCTGATGCATCAAATTATCAAAAAAGGCATCAGTCATTATAGAGAAAACAAAAATTTGCCTTTAACAACTTTAAGTTTGTGTCAAACTTGTTCCTTTTATAAAGTGTATACAATATAACAACTTTGATTTTGTCATGGCCATTGACATCTAGACAGGCTCCTGGAAACAAATATGTAAGTTCAGCCCTATATGATATTTCATTTTGTCAATCTGCTATTATTGTCATTAATATGTAGGTGCTAAATAATCAGCAAGGTTTTACTATTAGGTCCTGAAATAGTGTGCCCCTTGTCTATTTTCAATGGCCAGGATTTTAAATTAACTAAATTTGAACTGTTATTGTTGAAGATTGACATTTTGTTGTAAAAAAGTTTAATACAAACTTGATTTATGTGTCTTCTTCATTAATTGCTTGTTTTTCCAGCCAAAACTTATTTGCTAACAGGTCCCGAATATTGGTAGCTTTTTTTTCATAGTCTCTTGGTCTGCTGGGATTCATCATGTGAAGAATGTCTCGAATCTCTGAACTTTCTCTTCTCTGGTTGGTGTTTGGGTCAATTGTAATATCCAGGGTCCTGGGCAATAGATCTCCTTTAGAGATACAGATGTTGTGCAACATCATGCATGCCAATGTAAGCATCTTAACTTCATCTGGTAAGCTCTCACACTTGCGCATAAGTATTTGCCAACGTCCTTTTAGTTGTCCGTAGGCACATTCGGTTACCATTCTGGCTCGACTGAGCCAGTAATTAAAGTACCGTTCCTTTGAAGTTAGCTTTGCATTTGTGTAAGGTTTCATTAGCCAGTTGGAACCACCACACCATTAATCTTTTTAGCAATATTTGGTAAGTACTCCCTGTCCTGTATTTGTTCCCATAAATCAGTGGACTGTATGATCAGTGAGTCGTGTGAGTTTCCAGGGAAACCACAACTACCACAGATAAATCTATACTTAGCATCAACCATTCCCAATAGAAATAGAAATTTTTGAAATTATGATATTCCTTGCAAGCTTGTAGCCCACCTTGCGGACATTTGATGGGTATATGACAACCGTCAATAGCACCCCAACAGCAAGGAAATTGCCACATTTGTTCCATGTCACTAATCTTCTGATAAAACTCAGTTTCTGATTTTGGCATGTATGTTGACACTTCCGATTCCCAAAGTACTTCCACAATTGCTTTTGCTACATCAGAAACAATGCAGCAAACAGTGGCAACACCTAGTCCTGTCATTTCAGCTATGGAATAGTAGTCATCACCCCGTCCACATCTATACAGGAATATAGCTAACCTTTGCTCTGGTGAAACTAGCAACTTTGCAACAATTTTTTTCCCCAGCTTGTGTCTGACCTTATCTAATATATACATGCATAAACGTAGCCCGGGATATTCTAAATGTCGTTTTAAATCTTGCATCATTGTAGTAGTTCCAGACAAGCTCCCACCAACCACTGTTTCGCACAAATCGACGGCAGAATCGAACTACGTTCGGTTTTCTAGTCGAATTTGCACACATAACCAGCATAAGTACTGCAATAAGCAACATTATTCTTCTTCTAGCAACAGCGACCATCAAGATAGTATGCAAAAGTTTTCTCCGTCTTTTGTTTTTTGCTAATAGTTTTCTTAGGAAATTAACCCGTGTTTCCCTGTTCCGTCCAGGCATAATGTTTTGTTTGTATTGGCTTTTAAAAAAGCTGATTAATTAAGTCGCTAAATTTAACTACAAATGCTCAGAAATGCCAAGATCATGAATGCGAGATAACAAATCAATTTTCGTGCCATTTTTCTTGTTATGACATGTGACTCGCCCCAGTATTCGAAGCGAAAGAGCACTAATCGATTAAGTACGGCTCATGAAAAGCACGCCTGTCTAAATCAAAATTAGAAGTTCGCCTATTTTACTCGAGTAAAATATGAATTAAGTTTGGCTCATGAAAAGCACGGCGTCTAAACCGGGCCTAACATAACACTGGGCATGTGGATCATAAAGTGCATCTTTGGAATAATGGAGCACCCTGGGTAAAGGTTGCAAAACTCAGTGTGGTGGTCTTCAAATAGCACTTGAAGGTATGCTATTTGCTCCTTTGACAATGTTGGGGAAAAGCAAATTGACGTGATTTCCAACAAGGTCAAGTACTTAGCATTGTCTGGGGAAATCAAGTCACCTATGATTAATGGTAGGTGGTTGGACAAGCACCACATCTGAACAGCTATAAAAAGATATTAATTAATAACGCATTAATTCCCTTGACGAGTAAAATCGATTGGCGTTATATAGATAGAGTAAAATAGTAGGGCTGGCTCACAGGGCGCATTGCATGCGTTTAACAGAACAAATTGACGGATAGTGTTGAAGGTACGACATATAACATTAGGACAGGGTTAGTGTTAAGATGAGGGTTGTTTTGGGATTTAAATTCATGTATTTTGGATATGAATCCAAGACCGACTGCAACGCAGGCTACCTGTAGCTGATAACATGGGTTTATAACAGTTACAACTGACTTTAAGCTAACCATGTTGTTTTAGACTGTGATCATTTAATGATAATTTTTGTTCCGTAATAGGCGAAGGTTTGTTCTTATCATTGTAGTATCCAAAATCAAATCTGGCGATTCTGCTATTCAGATCTTCTAAGGTGAACATGTGATGGACTTTGATGAAATCTTTCAACATCTCTTTCATCTCATAATGTAAGACACCTTCTAATATATCATGCATGGCATCTGTAGGTAGGCGACCAACAACATGAAAAAATCTGCTTTCATTGAGAATAGATCTTCTGTTTATGCCATATGTTTTGCTAAAGTGTTCACCAAATGCCAAAACTTGGTCACAGCATTGGTCGTAGCCATCTTTTGTGTGCAGCACAAAATATTTCTCATGAAACTAAAAATTAAAGATAAGTTTGAACAGCATACTATGTGTTTGAAGTTTAATTAACCCTTCATGTGGCAATGTGCCATTAGTAACATGCATCACTTTAATAGTATTTTGCTCGGTTGCAAGACGATTAAATTTTCTCTATCTATAACAGCAGACATTTTACTTGCCTGTGGTAGGCTATTGCAACTTAATTGGGTTGGCAAAACTATTTACCATTGTCATTATGCGTCTGGTGATTATCCTGGCTCAAAGGTTTCAAAGAGGGTTGTCAGGCACATTGTATGTGCCGTCACTGCCTTGGAATTGATGATGATATCAGATCTAAGGTAATCAATTATTAGGAGGTTTCAAAGAGGGTTGTCAGGCACATTGTATTTGCCGTCACTGCCTTGGAATTGATGATGATATCAGATCTAAGGTGATTATATATCAAGATAAGCTAATATTAACCAAAATATTGTCCTGGCCGGCATTAAGACAGAGTACCATCTGAGTCCTTTGCCATGCAAATAATAATGCTTAAATTAGTTTAACCCTCTGATCCACGGAACCTCCTCACTGAACCATTGATATGGAATTCGTGACCTTCATCCTGAAATGTGTAGAAAACTGATTATATATTCTGGAATACTTGAATTATACATTTGGCGTCCCTAACAGGTTACATGCAGGTTACTATTCTCAGCTACAGTACTGGCAATGAAAGAAATTATGAATACACTATTACTCATTGATTGTAGATATATTTGCCTGTTCTAGCTTTTGTAAGTCTGCCATGAATGGTTGAAGAACAGCGTCTATCCCATATTTCTTTATGTTCAATGTTTTGCATAAGCATAGAAGTTGGATCGCCTTTTCTGATGACCTATGCATAGGTTCAATGTTACCAAGAGTGTAGTAAAAGGCTCCTGAAAATATATGAAATTTTCTCATTTTTTACAGTTTCGGTGGTATAGCCGTATGCATTCTCTGAATAATATAGCCTCAATTTAGATTCTGAAGAGCACAACAGTTTGTGCAAGTATATACTCATTATTAATGCATTCCCAAATTACCAAGTTTATGTTTAGTTGCCCTTGATCCAAGTGGATTACAGGTTTCTAGGTCATCATAATACACCATGATTTGCAGTGCTTTTGAGTCAACTGAAAACAGCAGGTTATTTCGGAATTGTTCCCCATCGCAATAATCTCTAATAAGGCCATCTGTGCTCTTATGCGGATTTTCCACCTTTAAATTAAATAAGAAGTATTATGTGAATCTATCTGTTTTTCTTTGGTTTTGATCCCATCTGCATAAAATTGCACTGATTCCAACCCCATACAGGTGAAAAGGAGTAATTTACAGTACTAGCTGGAATATGGGGTCAGCTGAAAGTAAAAAAATGTGACCATCGTAAGCCAATTAACCTGGCGAAAAGGTCATTCCATCCTCTAGGGGAGCTTCGGTATGTCTCGTTTGAGAACATGGTAATAAAGGTCAGCCACAACACCCTTGGTAAATTAGGTTTGACATAAATGGTTCTTAAGAAAAGGAGCATGCACGTTGTAGGTCTTATTCTTTATTTTCATGTGACGTCACTAAATCAAACTCTTGACACAAGGTGGTCAAGTCGAAAAGGAAACAGTTATTGGAGTGGGTTAAGTTCATTATTGTATGTGTTGACCTTGTGTTTGGTGGCAAATACATGCAATTGAGCATAATTTGCTTGCTCCCTTAAATCATAAGAGTCGATATTATGTAAAGTTGACCACCATGTGTTTCCCTACGTATGTACATGTATAACACATTTCCCATTCTACCTGTTCTAATACAAACTCGTCATTTAAAAGTGATTCCAGGCTGTTGTAATATGCGAGTGGAGACTCGAAGTTTCACGCAATCTCTCATATTCTTCCTGGACTTTAGGATTAGCTGGAATATGTTTACTTTCAAGTTTTCCTAAAATATGCAGGCCATTTAAAGATGTTGCTCGACTAAGTGCTACATATACCGGACCATAGTTAAAATACCTTTGCTTTTTTAAATCAAAACTGATGACAATGTTATCCAGAGTTAATCCTTGTACTTTATGAACAGTGCATGCCCATGCGAGAGTTACAGGAAATTGTAATCTTTGCATTTCAGGAGATGATGGTTTTCCTGGTCTGACTTTAATTCTCGCCAATACAGGTTTGATAGGAACAAGATTGTTTTCTCTTGCAAAACTACTGGACGAATTTCGGATGGCAGATATTCCAGCATCACAGTCATCAAACTTAACAAAAACTGTAGAAGGTTTATTACTAACATTGTCAACAGAAACTCTTATTACTGTATCTAACTGGCCATTAATTAGTCGATCGCTAATATCCACATTTGTTGTGAGCATAATTCTCGCATTTTCTTTGATCAGGATTTTAGTGTCAAGCCCTCCAGTTTCGGATCTTCCTTTAGACAACACTCTTTCGACAACACTCTTTCGACATCCTGTTTTCTAACATGAGGTGGGAATTGATCTAAAGCTTCTAAAACGTACTGTGGTGATTGAATTTGTTGTAGGCGATCAATATTGTACTCATCTACTGGTGCATTTTCTGCAAAAATGTTTAATGCATCTGATGGATAATTTTCATCATCTGGAGTTATTGTTCTAGATTGAATACACTTGATATCATCGTCTGTATGTGAAGCAGTGTGCACTCTATTTAATAGTTGAGTGAAGGCGAGGTCATCTTTCTGTCTCATGATTTGTGTTAGTTCTGCCACTTTAAAGACATGCCATGGATGATGTAGATTGAATGTATCAATCTTATAATTTGAAAATGTTGTTGCACTTCGAATTGGTGGTAGCTGAAAGAAATCTCCGAAAACAAGTACCCTGATTCCTGCAAAAAGTTCACTATTAGGTGTAACAAATATTTCTTTCAATCTCTGGTGAATATGCAGCAGACCCATGTTTGAGTCCATTGATATTTCATCAATTATGATTAGTTTCAATTCAGCCAAAGACAATCTCATTTGTGTTCGTCTCTGGTCAGATGTTGCAGGTACATTATTCCCACATTCTCTTGGAATTGCTAGAGCAGTGTTTACGGTTGTTCTGTTGATATTTATGGCAGCAGCTACACCAGTTGGAGCCATTAGCAATACAGAAGGTAATTCAGGATTCATTGGAGCATGTCTAAATGTTTTTGTAACAGTATGATATATAGCTTTAATTAAGTGTGATTTCCCTGCACCTCCACCTCCAGTAACAAAAACATGTATCGGATCTACTTTAGATGGTTTAAGGATGTTTAGGTTGGCCATCTTATTTCTACACCACGAAAGAACTACATCATATGCATAACGTTGTTTGTTGTTCAATGATCTTACAGTTTTTCGTAGATCATCGTCACTGATTTCTAAGGGTTGATTATAAGAACTTATTCCAGAAGGTGGTTGAACTGATTCAGGAATTGATGCAAGATGTTGTGGCAACGATTCGTTAAAAGACTCGGTTTCATCAGAATCGTCAGGTAAACTTTGTCGCAAATCTTCATTTTCCTGGTCATTTATTGGATCATAGGAGTGAGTTGGTACACCATCAAAGTTTCGTAAACTTTCTGGTGCTTCATTAATTGCATCACCATCTGGCTCAAATATTTCTTTGTTCCGCTGTACTACCTCTTGAACATCTGGCTCATAAAACTTAGATATGTATGTCTGGTCTTCGCCAAAGAGTTCCTGCTCATTACGCCACAGAAATAACATAAGAAGGTGGTGAAAATATTTTTCAGGCTCTTTTCTTTTGTTTGGAGTGTGATATCGAATGACAGCTTTCATTTTTCTGCACTTCATAATTTCTTTGCTGTTTGCAAGTTTTATTCGATCGGGAAGTCCAGTGTTATGATTTTCGATATTTTGAGATTCCATGAAGTCATCACTTAACACTTCAGGTTGAGAATCAGACACTTCGTTAAAATCACTTTTGTAATCTTTGAAATCATGTAAAGCAAATAAAGCTAAACACATATCATTAATGACAGGAATGTTTTTCAGTCTGTTACTGTAACAGACAATAATGTTAGACTTAAAAATGTCAGTACTATCATCATCTAACTCATCAAGTTCTTGTGTTGTTTCTTCGCAAATCTAACGCGATTTTCAGCAAAATCTGTGCTAACAAAGAGGGTTTTCGGGAATATTTTTCTTAACCAGAGTTCAGGCATGCACCTGTAAACGCATTCTTGAGCACTGACTTCACAAGTCGAGAGAAAAGCTGCACCTACTTTTCTTAGGCCATCTCTTACATTTAAGTTGGCTTCTTTAGCCTCTTTTGCTGCATTTATGATGGCTTGAGAACATTCAGTTTCATCCTTTGTAAAGTAAGAACAAATGTATGTGATACACTTGTAATGATTAAACACTGGTTGCAAGTCAACATTTGCGGCAAATCCTTTTAACCCAGCAATAAAGTAATTGTTGATAAAACAACTATCTATTGGTCTTTTGAGGTGCAATTCATAGTCAGAGTCTGGATATAATGATATAGCCCATTGATAGTCTTGCTCTGTAATATCTATATCATTTAGGATGTCAGTTGGAGTTGCATGTGGATCATAAGTAGGTTTGCTTGGGTTTAGCACATCATCAATTTTTTGTTTAACTTTAGACAAAATTTCCTTTCTTCTGGTCAGAATATTAGACTTAATCTTGTCATCCATATCTTCAGCCAAAGGTTCAGCAACAATTGTTCTGTCAGTAAAAAACTGTCCAAAGTTAAATCTGCATGCAACGTTCTTATACTTTCTACAGGTTTTACTGTGGTTATGTGTCTGGTATGTTTTCACCAAGTCAAAAAGTTGAGGATCTGTTTCTTTGTCTGGGAGGTAAGCTTGAACATGTTGGTCAATGTAATCTATGTATGCATCTTTTGTATCATTTGTTAAGTCAGGACAATCAGATGTCCATATTAAGGCATGCAAATGTGGTGAAACTCTCATTTGAAATTCAATACGGAGTGCATAATATACTATCTTGCCAATTGGGTTTGCATTTGTAAGCAAAACATCCCTGAAAAATGTTTCGACTCGATACTGGAAATGTTTAGCTACAATAACTGGATTTAAATTTAACATTGAGCATCGCTCATGATAGGACAGAGCGTCCACTTCTTCATCTCTCAAGTTGTTTCCTTTCGTTTTTGCAATTATCTTAAATAGCTCAGGCCATCTTAAGTCTGCACATGAAAGTGTCATAAACCATGTTAGTATTCCCAGTTGTTTAACCATTGCTACCACTTCATACATGAATTTTTGCCAGTAAGGAGGTGAGCCAGGAATTTGTCATAAAAACAAATATGCTTGATCTTGCAAAAGAAGATTTTGAAAAGCTTGACTGTTTGATTTTACTTGTGATGCTGTGACTGACTGCCCATGTGTTTTTTTAAGAGCAATATTTATACAATCAGAGATCTTTTTCTGTTCCATAATGAATTGTGCAAAGAATAGATACTCTGGATTGGTTGCAAATTGCCCACTATAGTGCAAGAGGCGAGTATTGAAATATTTTATTGCAGATAATTTTATGTCTCATTCAACGGTATACCCAAATCATCCTTTTGGAAAGAGTACTGGAAATGAAAGTTCCTCACAAAGCTTATCAGTCATCAATGACACTGGGTGTTTACCTTCACCTGGTGCAATGTTGAAAATTTCTCTACCTGTTGAATTATATCAGGTTAACAGGATAATTTGGCAAGATGGACTGAAGACAGGTTTCAGTTGCAGCTGAACGGTGTTCATTTAATGGATCATCTTGTTCTTCAGCATCTTCATTAAGAAGTTCTCTATTTACATTAGTTTGCAAATGTTCATCTATATTTTCTTGATCTGTAACAGGACAGTTCAAATTAGTCAACTCTGGGTTGATGTTGTCACATTGAATTTCAATGTTTCTATATAATGGATTGTTTGCTACAAGCCAGTTTAATGCGTTAATTACAAACTGAGGGCGAACTGCTTGAAAGTAAACATGACCTCTAAATTGAAGTTTCCTTTTTAATTTACGTAAAATTATCCCAGATCTGTCAGGCGGTCTGGGAACAACATTGCATGTTTGACTACATTCAACTGGTACATTACATATCGCACCTTTAATTTTTCTTTGTTGTCCTTTCGGCATTATTACAATTTTTTCAAAGACTATTCTCTGGGCAACAAGAATTTGTTCAAGTTTCTCCAATGCAGCAAGTTCAGTAGGGGTTTCAACAACAAATAAATTGTTTACCACAGCTTGACAAGGCTGTTGACCTTTAAGTAACTTAGCATGGCATGTTTTGCAGATGTAGTTTTTACCATCAAAAGAACATTGAAGCATAAAACAATCCTGGCGAGGATATTTATTTTTCTGTAGGATTACTATTGACTTTTTATATAGTGTTCGGTTACACACACAGCATATGTAAAATGGGCCTGATTTAATTTGTTTTTTAAATTTTTCAATGCACATGTCAATGTCATGAGTTAGAGATTTCTTTTCCATCCGTTTTTCTTTCTCTCTATTCAGCAAATTATTTTTTGTTTTGGATCCAATGAGATGCGATTTGACATGATTTTGCTTGAACTCATAGCACTCGACTCCTTTTTCTTTAATAAATCCATTGCTTGATATTTGCCTCTCATGTTCTCTGATAGTTTCTGTTTTTGTTCTTCTCCCATTGTTTCCTTATAATTCAAATTTTTAGTAAGCAGTTCCTCTTTCTTTGATTGATCATTGCTTCATATTTAGCTCTTTTATTCTCTAGTATTTTTTGCTTTTGTTTTTTACTCATTGTTTCTTTATAATTCATATTTTTAGTAAGCAGTTCCTCTTTCTTTGATTGATCCATTTCTTCATATTTTACTCTTCTATTCTCCAGTATTTTTTGCTTTTTCTCCTGAGCCATTGTTTTGTACTTCACCTGCTTTGCTTCTAGCTTCTATTTCTTTAAAGCTGGTTCAATGAAGTCATTCACATAGTTTTGCCTGTGGATTTTCATAATTCTTTTTCTTTCACAGCTGGTCAATTCAGAAGAACAAGACAAATATTGAATTTCATTATTGACAATTCCATCCTTGATTTTGGTGGTTGCTAGGTTAAAGATAATATTAACTAAAGTATGCTTGTCGTTTATGTTTTTAATATAATGTGCAGTACATGTAGGCTAGCTATCATCATCATATGCTAATATTGAGTATGACATATTCTTAATTGATGTCTTTTGAAAGATGCAAGAAATACAATAATCTCCAAATCAAATTAAAAACCCTGTGTTTTCATTAGTATTACAAATAAGGCTTTCAATGTGTAGTTTGCTTTTTGTCTGGTCATAAACTATCCTTGAATATTAGCTTGCAATTTTACATCTATTTCAGTTCTACATATTTCAACTTTTTGAGGTATATCACAAGATGTATTTATCGCAGTGTTGTTATACAAAGTAGTGCCAAAGTAAACAACTGCGGCCACTGTATTTGAATCCCAGTAATTACAAGGTTTAATAACAGAATAACAAATCGAGTATAATGAAATTGCACAGCATTGTCTACATAAACAAGAAACATCAGTACTTTTAGATTCTTCTGAGGCATCTGATAAGGCAGAATTTCTAATGCTGTTGTTTAAGTTCTGGTCACAATTGGCTTGTACTTCTTCAATATTTATTCCTCTTAGCTTAAATTGACTGTTTTCACTGTACAATTAAAGACTGGAAATACATAATTATGTTGTTGATATTTGGTGCTTCTAACAGAACACATGTACCTTGTGGATGACTTCTGCCATAAATATCTCTTGAATGAGAGTCAAAAACTTTATACCTGCCATCAGTGGTAGAAAATATGCAAACAGCATTGGAGTCAATTGTTAAAATGAATGCAGAATAGTTTTCAGCTAGGAGCAATTCAAATGATCTGTGAAATGGAACACAGTACTGATACCCTTCAATAGAACAGTCTCCAATTATATTACCACCATTGCTCTCACTGTACTCAAAAATATAATCTGTGTCAAATACTGTGAGTTGTGAAGGCAACTCTGTAAACAATAAAAATGATTGCTGTGCTAAACATGATAAGTTTGAATATAGTTAATTACCAATATTCATTACATTAACCAGGTCTTGTGGTGAGCATATGTTCTGTCTTTTGTTGTATATAAGGGCACATAAACACATTGCTAAACACTGCTGTCCTGCTGTTTCTCCAAATATAATCTGATTACCTTGGCTATATGGTGCACTGATTGTCTTGCTTGGATCAATATAGAATACGGGTCCAGGATTCGTCTCAATATCTGTAGATAATGCTGACTGACAGACATTCTTTAAGTGGTTGACATTTTTGTATACCTGTTGTGCATATAAATCATGAGTCGAACCTGACAAATAGAATATATCTGCAAGAATTCCTTCACAAATATAAAATTTTAAATCTTTTGCTGAACGGTTTGTCCAGCATTTCTTGTGAACCTTCTTTGGGCAGTAAACATCAGGGATACACTTCATCCTAATGTCTTGACAATGCATAATATTCTCTACTATATAATGAAGATGAGAGGATCTTGGTACAGATCTTATGTCTGAGACGTTTTCTCAACAATCGACTTTTTCCAAAGTTCCTAGTTAACCATTTCACCTGTATTCTACTGGGTTCATGGTCACGGTGACGTAAATGGCAACCAATGGTAGCAAAGTCAGTAACATGTTTTTGTGTGCAGACGTTATAAAATAATGCATATAGTGATCGCACTGGAAGTTTCTTTATACACATAGGATTGTGCTTTCACAGACCTGTTATTTCAATATTCTGGCTATTCAATTTATAAATACAGTTGTTAGATATATTTATACCTGACATACATTGATCTGTGGACACATTCTTGTTTTCCATATCATCTTTGCTCAAAAGAGTTGAGAAATTCTTGATTGGTGTCTGTTCAGATGATATCGCATTGTTCATGTTCTTTGTAGCTTTTCTACTGGCGGCCATGTTGACCATGTGCTCGTTGACAGTACAGCAACTTGATTGTGAGTTTAGGCTTGTTTTTTGTAAATTTGTCTGTGTATTATTCATCATTTCAGTAGTACTTTTGTCACATTTTTGTTCACTTTTTGTATAATATTTTTGGCAACTTTTTGTGTATTCTTGGCAATTGTTTATGCAAGTTTTTATGTACCCGAAGGTTTTTTTTTATTCGTGGATAATCGACCCGGTTCGAAATCACTCAGCATCTTTTAGTGTAGGTCTACCACGAATAGGTGCAGAGTCATGCGAGTTGAGCGTAATTGAAATTAAATCACATTCACTTACCGTAAGCATCGTTGAAAAGAATCAAAAGATCGCTTTCTTCCCAAAATATAAAACCGCGCAGCCAAACGTAACTTGCGAATGGCGAAGGTTGCTGTTTCCATGTCGAAATTCCTTGTAAAATTGTTCAATTTTCCCGAATTTTCCTCAAAATGCAGGGTTATTTATTATTCTACGTTAATATCGTGAAGTTCGAGGCTATAGTTTCCAAAATATCTCCACGCAAGTGAACAAATTTCAACCCAAACAATATATTCCCATGTGCAAGGGCTTTCCCCAGCAGCTAAACCCTCAATAAGGCAGCTTCCAATTGGCTCTAACTCTTTTGAACACTGCCAGATGATTGGCTCCTAAAACAAAGAGAATGGAATGTGCAGCTCGTTTCAGCAGACGTTAGTTAGCAAGGGTTAGAGCTATAAGAACGTCTGCGAGGGAGACTACTCTGAGTCCAGCGCTTCCATTTTGAAGGAAATTTCCTTTTTGAAGGAAATTTTAACGAGTTGAAGGAAATTGTAAGGAAATTCGAATCTGAAGGAAATTTGAAGGACATTTCGGAAAATTGAAGGAAATGTAAAGGAAATTGCCTTGCAATTTGCTGAAAAAAATGCTGGAATGGAAAAATGCTGAAAATCCTGTCGTGAGAGATGCAAAATCTGACAATTTTCTGGGGGAGAGCCCCCAGACCTCTCTGGTTATTCTCCTTCATGTTAATCTATGTAAACTTTTTGTCTCTCCCCTTTGATAATTCAGCCCCTGCAATGTCTATGTTCCTTCTACAACAAGAAATACCCTGTTATTCGAGATAAATTACTATAAAATCAATTTTAAATTAGGTAAAATTCAATAATTTTATTGCAAGGAAATTTTGTCAAAAATAAGGAAATTACAATGGAAGCACTGGCCCTGACGCCACATGCCATCGTTTCATATAATATTTGTCCTAAACATAAACATGGCAGAAGGAAATAGAAATGAAAACGACGTGAAAGCACTTTTGCAACGATGTGCTGATACATTGCTCTCAGTCGTTTCCCGAATGGGAAGAGGCAGTCGAACAAATACCCAAACAACGAATAATAATCTGAATATCAACGTGTCTTTAACCAGTTCTACTCATGTTGGTGGTAGAGCTGCCAGCAGTTCAGGAACAGTATCAACTATACGTTTGCCTTTAACCAGTTCTACTTGTATTAATAGTGGTAGTACTGCCAGCAATTCAGAAACAGTTTCCACTTTACATCCGCGAGAAACTGCAATCACTGAACATCGATGTCTTTTCAACTTTCAACCATCAACTGCAAGAAACACTTTACTTAATCTAAGGAGAAGTAAGAAGAGACAGAGAATATCTGATAAACCACTGTGGAACCACATAGTTGTTTGCCTGTCTTCCACAAATTGGGATCAGTTGCCAACATTCGCTGAGAAAGCCGAACTTGCATTGTCTGGTATTGGTGAGAAAAAGATCTCGTTTCCACCATACGAAACGTTCTATGAAGCAATTTATCGTGAGTTTCCCAACTTGCGAGAGGGTGGAGGGTACAAGGTTTTGGGAAGTAGTGGAAAGAATCTGCAATCAATACCCATGCCCAGTGGTGGGTACTCAGTTGATTATCTGAAAGGTGTGTTGGCACAACCAAAATGTTTTGCCCGGCCTCTACAAATGGATTTAATCTTGACTCAAGAGGTTTGTACTGTATTTACAAAATATAATGAAACATATGGCCTGCATTATGGGTGTTATAATGCATTTATAATTAACTATTAGACTGTTTACTCATGTTTGTGTTCAAACAATATGCCATTTAATCCTTCAAATTAAGTGGCAATGCACCCTGCCCCTGGTGTGCCGTATTTTAATATTTTGCTTTATACCCATCCATAGGATGGGTGTGACTACTAATTAAAATGAATGGCCTTTTTGTATCTGCGAAGCAGATATATTGATATCTCAGACATACCGTACCATATGTTAGCACATAGCCATTCAGTGACAAGCTTATGCAGACCTAGACCTTTTATTTTTATTATTTTTATTAATATTCAGAGCTTTTTCACATGAAAAGACTGGGACTAGGTGATTTGGGGGCGGGGCAGAGGAAGGACACAATCCGAGTGCCAAAAACTGAACTGAATTTGCCCCACTTGAATATGCCCAATTATTGTGATCAAATGCAACTTAACAGCAAATTTATTTATTTAATAACTAAATAAATTCTGGGTTATAAACATTAGAAGTTGATAAAAAATAGTAATTAAATAGACAACATTTAAACAAAGACAATAAAGTTAAGTTTCTTAAAGAGTGTTCCACGTTCTGCATGCTCTGATATAAAAACTGTTTTGAAAGGTTACTGTTTTTGATTTGGTAATCTGAAGGAGTCCTGATGTAGAACTAGAGAGTCTGGTTATACGATTTGGTGAATATAATTTCACATTTTTGTCGGAAATTTTCATAAATACATTTGAATAGATAAACAAGATCCAGGTATTCATGCCAGTAGGTAATTGGAAGAATTTAAACCGATACAGGTAAAATAAACTTATTTATAGTATAAACTATATGGGAATCAAACCTACAACCTTTGGAGTACCGTGG